GCATTCAAAACAAAATAACACACTTTTGTTTTCGTACATGAGCTATAACCCTAAACACATTCGTTCATCCTCCGCGAAGGAAGGTCACATCAAAAACACCATAGCGAGATACGTACGCGCATATGACAGATAACTCAGTCAACCCGCCGCGAGTACTTTGTCGTACAGTGATAGAGATGTGTTCTGCTTTGTCTGAATGTTGATGATTGGCTTTTTGTCGCGAATGTACACTGTTTCAAGTGTGACGAGCCGTCTACGATCCTGACAGTGTGCTAGGATGGATGTGTTGGTCACGAGATCGTCACGTGTGAGTGCGGTGTTGTGATGCTCTGTGTAGTGTTTCTTGGGGGCTCCGTCCTGCAGGTGCATTGTGAGACGTCTGCTCAGAGACGTTGTGGTGTGACCAATGTAGTATACTTCGCGGGTCGCGCAGTCCCCGGCTGTACATTTAAATTGGTATACTACATTGGTCTGCTTGAGTGTTGCCGTGCTGCGTGTGGGATTGTTTTGCATCACCAGTGAGGATGTCTTGGGGCTAGTGTAGTAGACCTGAACTACCAGTCGCTGTTCCCCATCTGTAGGTTGGCAGTTACGGCGAACAATACCGCGGATCACCTGCTCATCCGTCTTCCATGTTGGAGACATCGTGCTGCGGTAGTACACTTTTAGCTCGTCTTTCTTTGTCTTTGGCTCCTTGTTTGTCACGCCGGCCGGGCACCTGAACGGCGCCGGAGGCGCCGTTCAGGTGCCCTGAAGGCAAACTCTATGTACAGGTGGACGGGGTCGCAATGGGATCCCCACTAGGCGTTCTGTTTGCCCAAGCCTACATGTCCTATGTCGAAAGGAAAGTGCTGCTCTGTGATGATGTCAAACCGTTCATGTACTATCGTTATGTAGAAGACATTTTTGTTGACGTCGAAAATGCTGAAAAGGTAGACCTGCTGCGCATGAAACTAGGCCAGGAATCAGTTTTAAATTTCACAGTTGACCATAGCGTAGGACAGAAGCTGCCATTTTTGGACGTCATGATTGATTGCAGCAGTGGTGAATTCGTCACAGATGTGTATCGGAAGCCAACTGACCTCGGCAGGTGCATGAATGGGGAGGGTGACGTCACTGACTCGTACAAATCAGGTGTCATAAGGGCGTACATTAGACGGGCCATGAAACACTGCTCGACTTGGGATCTACTTCACACTGAACTTGAGAGGGTTCGTAAGATCCTAGTAGATAATGGGTACAGCAATTCCATGTTTGACGACGCTGTAAAAAACATGCTTGAGAACCATGTGACAAACAAGGAGCCAAAGACAAAGAAAGACGAGCTAAAAGTGTACTACCGCAGCACGATGTCTCCAACATGGAAGACGGATGAGCAGGTGATCCGCGGTATTGTTCGCCGTAACTGCCAACCTACAGATGGGGAACAGCGACTGGTAGTTCAGGTCTACTACACTAGCCCCAAGACATCCTCACTGGTGATGCAAAACAATCCCACACGCAGCACGGCAACACTCAAGCAGACCAATGTAGTATACCAATTTAAATGTACAGCCGGGGACTGCGCGACCCGCGAAGTATACTACATTGGTCACACCACAACGTCTCTGAGCAGACGTCTCACAATGCACCTGCAGGACGGAGCCCCCAAGAAACACTACACAGAGCATCACAACACCGCACTCACACGTGACGATCTCGTGACCAACACATCCATCCTAGCACACTGTCAGGATCGTAGACGGCTCGTCACACTTGAAACAGTGTACATTCGCGACAAAAAGCCAATCATCAACATTCAGACAAAGCAGAACACATCTCTATCACTGTACGACAAAGTACTCGCGGCGGGTTGACTGAGTTATCTGTCATATGCGCGTACGTATCTCGCTATGGTGTTTTTGATGTGACCTTCCTTCGCGGAGGATGAACGAATGTGTTTAGGGTTATAGCTCATGTACGAAAACAAAAGTGTGTTATTTTGTTTTGAATGCTGTGACTCATCGACTGAATAGTTTTAGTATCATATCCGTAATATTTGTTCCAAAAATGTAATTGAACCCATTTATCTCAAAGTATGACTTCTAAAACTGTGTGACTGTAATTTTCTTGAAAATGATCTCTGATAGATCGAAACGTCGAACAACAATATAGCTATGATATTTTGTATTTATGACATCTTTTGGTAATATTTTACATTCTCACGAACCCGAACCTCGACAGTGCATTCGCCGCCTCGAAAGTCTTAATAAGAAGAAGATAAGTGCCCATTATGCTGTTGTGTTTAACAAAACTTGCATATATATATATATATATATATATATATATATATATATATATATATATATATATATATATATATATATATATATATACATATATATTAGTGTAAGCTGGAAGCAGATTATTCTTATGGCAATGCTCATTAAATGATAACGCAGCTTTTCCGTTTATAAGCTTACGGTTTATGGACTCTAGTGCTCTTATAGCTTTCTTAATGTATAGGGAATATACGAAACGCGTCGAACTATAATGTCAATTTAATGGAAATAATACTTTTGTTAACCATTATGAGCTTGGGTAATATCCTTCTTGCACATGTTGAAACCTTCGGGTATTAAGACCAAAATGATAGAGCTAGTAAAGCGAATATCTTTCCTCGTGCCTTTTTGGCGCCTTAGCGCCTAATTGTTAACAACAACAGCTGATGAGCGGTAGTCAAACTTCAAAGCACTCGCTATAAAAGAAAAGATGTGTGGCCGGCCCATTACCCACCGTCCGTTACTACCCCGCTCTCGGCTCTATCTAACTTTACCTTTAACTCTCGCCGGACAATGGACATATTGGTTTTCTACATACGCGCCGGCCGAGGGGGGGGGGGGGGGTAAGACCACCCCCGCCGTTTCGCCTTTGGTGGAGCTAGCGCGCCGCGGAAAAAAAAAACGAGCTTGTGCGCCGTTGCGAGACACAGAGATTGATACCCGATTTTAAGGTCCTAGGTCAACCGGTGTCCTCTGAGTTCAGGTCAAGTGCCCCAATGTGCAGTTCCGTTTTTGGTGAATAATTTCGCAAAAACGGCCGCAGAGCCGCGATATTGGCAGAATCGTGTTCGCCTCGCTCAGGCGCGTCGAATGATACACTTTTTGTTTGGGTGAGGTCAGCTTAGGGTGTTGACCTCGGGTCACGGTCAGGTCAGCGCCCCCAGGTCACGAAGTTAGTCGAAGGAGCCGGAGGTCATGTCGCATATCATTCGATTCGGCTGGTCTTCTTGAGTCTATTGGTGGCTTTCCAGACTCGCTGGCTCAATTTGATCGGGAGTTATTGATGGTAAACTAATATGACCCTAATGACGTCATAAATGACGTCACGCAAGGTCGACATTGCAAAAGTGACGCATCGCACCTTGCAAGGAGTGCATGAAATCACGATTCTGTGTGCTTGAGATAGTTGGAGATCGTTCCCGGTGCCAGAATAGCAGTTTTCATTTTCCCCGTTGACTTATAATGGTGAGGTCACGAAAAATGACCTGACCTCATATGACCTTTAGGAAAAATCCGAGGTACACAAGTTGTGAGACTGGTAATGGATACTAGATCCTGCAAGTTTCGTTTCCCTGTGAAAGCTCCTCTGGCGTGAGGGCGTTGCGAAGTTGCACATCTGAAGACCGTGCAGAGGTTCACTTATGACGTCATAGGTCAATGACCTGACCTCACCCGAAAATGCAGTTGGTGTCAAAAGATCCGCCCTGGATCAAAGGTCACGTATGCCAAGTTTCAGCTCTCTATCGCCAGCGTGTTCGGAGCTATCGCGAAAAAAACCTATGGGGGCTGCACCTGCTTCGGGCGGCGAGGGTTAACGTTTCCTAGAATACCGGCCAATTTACACCATTCCTCCCTAACATTTTTCTAACGTTTGCTAATGTTTTGAAAAGACGATGGCAGGACTTCGACCGCCTCAGGCGCAGTGCACAAAACACCGAAATTGTGCTGAGATGTGAATGAAGCCTTTTCAACTTTGAATCAGGTAGAGCCAGTGGAATAACCTAATCCTCAGAAGCATGCCGGCCGGCTGGCGGTCTAGTGCGAATGTGTGGATATTTTTAGTGTTCGTTTTTGTGTTTTTAGCAGGTAGTTTTGTAAATGTTCGCTCCAGCTTCTGCCGCGGGCCGGCGGAGCGCCGGTACGGCGCCACGCCGTCGCTCCTGGGGACGACCCCCTGTGGGCCTCCGCTCCTGCGGGCCTCCGCGCGCACCAGCGCCCGCCGTCTGCATCTCCTGGTCAGCCGCGCCTGTCCTGAGCAGATCTTCAGACCAAATGCGTTGGTCCTGGCCTGATAAAAGCCGTACGATCCCGCCCCGGCTGCCGGGGAAAAACACCCGGCTCGTTGTTACGTAAGCGGGCCAGGCCGGTTGCCGTTTCCGGCGCCAGTTAGGCCGCGGCGCGCACAACAGGCGGCGTGCATCGACCGGGCCAGTGACGTCACTGGCGGCGGCGAGCCAGTGACGTCAGCGGCGGCAGGGAGACGTGCGTGGGCGCCGCCACTGATAATCCGGGAATAGGCCGGGCGGCTATATCGGTCCGCCAGTGCAGCTGATGTGCGGCGTAAATTTGGCCGCAGAGGCCGCAGAGGCCGGCTGCGCAGGGCGGTCTCCGCCGGATACACGGCAGAACCCAGCGGAGCGCGGGACGGCAGCGGAGACATACCCGGCAGAGCTGCTGCACGCTGAACAGGGCTCACTTCGGGTGGCTACCACGGATCCACTGACGGGCCCGCACCGCTTCCTGTCCACCGGTGCTAATTCTGACAGGCGGAGTTATCGCAAATAACTAGATAACACAATGGTCCTCCAGGTGAGCGGTGTCCCCGAGCTCACTGCCACAGAGGTAACAGACGGACAACATACCCGAGCTAGACCTCCACTTGGTTTTGGCGATCAGCCTGCCCAGTACCCACATACCTACTATTGCACCGTCCACATAAGCCCAACTGACACACGTCAAAACGTTGTCATTTTTATTGTTTTTCTTTCACAAAGAATATTTGACAAGTCAGGAAAACTATACGGCTTCTCAAACGGCACACACACGCATACACCCGCGCGCACAACCACACACTGGACAGGCGCAGCCGCGCGCGGGCGGCGCTCGCCCGCGCCACCGCCGCGCCGCTGCACATGGTCACACCGTCATTTTTAATTTATTTTCTTGTCTATCCTGAGAGGCGAGCGCTAGCCTTTGTACATATATCGGCGAATGACCCGACGGCCATACTAAGGCAAAATACTTCATTTTGCCAGTGTGGGGCGGCGGCGCCCCACACTCGGTAAGTTGGCTCCGGCGACGTAGGGGGCGCGGCGCCGGAGCGCGGGAGGATGGGCCGACCGCCGGCCGCCGGCCGCAGTCCCCGGCTCCCCGTCGCCCACATCACTGGGCCGTCGGCCGAGCGCCGGTCGGCGGCCGTCCTGACTGTCCCACACAGCTGGGCCGTCCCACGCCACTCCGTCTGCCGCAACCACTGGCCGCAGAGATCATCCAACACGAGAGAGAGGGACGGCGGCGGCCGGCGAGGGGCCCGCCGGGCCGCCCCGACCCGCGCTGTCCGCCACTGACCCGTCACACCGCGCGCCCTCCTGCACCCGCGGACACAGCCCGCGGCGCCCTCCTGCACCCGCGGACACAGCCCGCGGCGCCCTCCTGCAGCCCGCGGACACAGCCCGCGGCGCCCTCCCGGCCCGCGGACACAGCCCGCCCCCCGCCCCCGCACAGACTTATCACCCAGCCACAGGCGACACAACCGCTACAACGCATTACGCACGGCGCCATCCCAGCTCCCGCTGTACAGAACACCAGCTGACGCAGTGACTGCAAACCCAGCCCCTGTCAAAGACCATTGACCTGGGCATGTTTCTTCTGCAGCAAGAGCTGAGATGCATGGGACGATGCACGACTACATTATGTCAATTTCACCCTGGGGTACCTTCTTTGAGGAATGCTCAGCGGCCGCTGGGAAGGACAACGGACGCCCCTTTATCTGTCCGAAGACAGCAGCGCCGACCGCGGCCCGCGTCACACTAAATGAACAGGAATGCCTTGAGCCCACCAGGGGCGGCCATCAACAAAACATGACACCGAAATTCCGGCCCCGGTCAGAGCGCGGCGGACTGCCGGTCACTGCCGGTAACAGCGGCACTGGCCAGGGCGCCGACAGCCGGTCTGCCTCGGCGGCCGGCCGGACGATTGTCGGGCTGGCCAGGCGCCCTGTTGGCGCCGACTCCGGCCCCGGCGGGCCGCGCGGAGCCACGCAGCAGCCGCGGCGCCCGGCCCGCAGCTCGGCGCTGACCAGTCACACTCAGCGCCGGCGCGTGAAAGACCTGCAATTGCAAGGGGATGCCCTCCGGATAGGGCGCGCCGCCACCGCACCTCCGGACACGCGCCGCGCGGACAGAAGCGCAGACGCGCGGACAGGCGGACACGGGACACTGCCCGACGGGGCCGGACCGCTGCACGGCAGGCCAGGTTCCGGTCAAGACGTCCAGGAAGGAGTATGGAAGACAGCACTGCCGATAGGCCAGGCAGCTTAGCGACAGGATCAGGGCTGGGTGGTCGCGGCTACTAAAACGACATGAGCAAAGAAAACGAATATTGAATGAGAAGCTAAGAATTGCATAAAGACAACAGAACAAAGGTAGAGAGGAAAGAGGTCGACTGCCACGCCTCCCGTGCCAGCCGGTCCATCAAAAGTCATAACTGACGATACTGGCTACACTTGGAGAGACGGTAACTTCAACACCATGGGTCAGGAAGTGCTCGGGCCAATCCCGCATCCGCCGCCGTTCGAAGATCCATAGGCAATCCCCAAATTTCCTCAGAGTTAACAGGTGGGCCCCCGGTAAAATGACATTGGTTCGCTGGAGCATTTCCGCATCACTCTGCAGAGCTACACAGATATAGTTACAAAGGTTATGATGATTGTCCACATGTTGGGCGCCCCGCCAGCTGGTCGCTGTTCCGGAGTCCCGCCGCGCCGCCACCGTGCGGCGACCGAGACTCGGCAGCAGCCACCGCGCCCGGTCTGAACCCACGTCTCCGAGAGCCGTCCGCGACCGACCGCAGTCCCACGGCATCCGCCGCATCCCAGCGGCCGGACGGAGCGCCAGGCTGCGACACGACACGACCGTACGGAGCGCAGTCGGTGGTCTCCGTCGTACGCCTTCGTCTGAAACAGGAGGAGAAAACTGTCAGCATCGCTCTACGACAGAGTTAGGGATCGGCAAAGAACAGGCAAATCACAACACCAAGGGCGCACCAATGAACATAACATCAATGAAACATTACTGGAACAGGTGGTAAAGCATGGCGGAAGACGAAAGTGAAGCATCTCTGTGAAGGCGCCAGTTGGTTCATGGACATGAAGCGTCGAGAGGTCACCACCGTATGAAGGCGGTGGAGGATAGGTCGGCTGCAATCATACTACCGGTGTTTCATGCGAGTCGCTGGGCCGGAAAGGACTACACTGCGGAGCACCGTGGCATGTCCTCTCACAGACGGTCTCCTCAGGCGACGACCGAACATCGGCAGCCTCTACACCAGCGGCCACAACGAAACAACGCCAGACAGGAGGACCTATCCCTTAGATAGCGCACCAGCCCAGAGTCCAGCCCACTGGCCACTACTCGGCGGACGGATCCCTGTCCCACCACCTTGGACTCTTCCCCAATGAAAATGAGGGACTCCTTCCCCGCTGCCAACCTTGGCTGGCGGCCTTCGCCTTCACCATGGGGGCTCACGTCGCGGTCGCGTTCCCCGTGCTGCACGGCACGACTCGGCACCTCCGTCGGTACTGATCGTGACTGGATGCTGACCGCAACGGCCAGCGAAAGTAACGCCACCGGTCGCCGAGGCCGGACAGTCAGCGCTCCGAGTCAGCGGCACACCGGTATCAGCTTGAGCAATGTGTCCGAATATGCATCATAATCCTACATTAGGTTATGATCTCCACTCTTCGTGACTTTCTCCGCGAAAATTACTCTGCTGATGATTGCTGACGTCCCAGCCAATTATCTGCAACAGTAGATTTACAATACAGAAGATGCAAGAGCGCCAAATAGATATATGGTTCATAGTATTAGGTGTAAGGTTTCCTATGAAAAGCCGTCCATTTTGGCCTCCCATGGCACTCAGACAGAACCAGAGAGTGACGGCTGAACTGTCCGCGCTGCCCTGGCAGCCGGTGAGCGCTTCCCTGGTGGCTGGTGAGAACTGCCCTGTGGCTGGTGAGCGCTGCCCTGTGGCTGGTGACAGCTGGTGGAGTGTCCACCCGTCCCCCGGCCCCGGTCCAGGGCCGGCCGCCGTTGGAGTGTCTGGTCTGTGTCTGCCGCGGGGTGCAGGGTCCTCAGCGCCAGACTGCCGGCTGCGGTCCGGGAGAGAAGCTGCAGCACCAGACGCGCCGGCGCCTCCCACAGATATCAGATACCTCCTCATACCCAGCAGCCGCCTCCGCGCAGATACCAGTCACGCCCCCACAGATACCGGCCGGCGCCTCACAGATACCTCCAGTAGCTCACAGGTATCTTCGCACAGACACCGGCCGGCATCTCCGCGCAGATCGCATCACCGATACAGTCAACTATAGTCAACAGCCGCCTCCCCGTAGTCAACAGTCACCTCCGCAGAGAAACCAGCCGCCTCCGCACAGAAGCCCCTCTGCGCGGGGCATCCAGGCGCGCTCTCAGCGGCAGTCAGTGCGTCCAGCCCGTACGGGGGCGATGCCACCTGTCGTCTGCATCCCTCACAGCCACTGTCGTCTGCATCCCTCACAGCCACTGTCGTCAGGCATCGCTCACAGCCACTGATGGCGCCAGGCATCCCTCACTACCACTGATGACGTCAGGCATCCTTCACAGCCACTGATGGCGCCAGGCATCCCTCACAGCCACTGATGGCGTCAGGCATCCCTAACAACCACTGATGGTGCCAGGCATCCCTCACAGCCACTGATGGCGTCAGGCATCCCTAACAACCACTGATGGTGCCAGGCATCCCTCACAGCCGGCGAGCTCAATAACAGAGGGTTGCGCGGTGCGCGGCCGGCGCTCCCGGCAGGGGTCCTCCCGGAGCGCCGTGGCGCCCATCCGCGACGCCCGCTTGTCCCGGCCCGGGTCAGACGACTGTATTACCGCCGGCTACCTCAGCTCGGGAGCGGGACACAAACTGACCTACACGGCCAGTCCACTCCGCCTGGGTCACTGAATGGACCGCACTGGGACCACTGACCGCCGACCACTTCATTTACTGGCACACGTACCGCCGACTTTACGGTCCCCTATTCCAGCTGAGTTAGACAGCGGGCACGGTCCCCTACGGCGGGGGGGGGGGGGCGACGGGGAGCCACTCCTGGCCGGGTGGCACTGCTCTGGACAATCCTCCAGTCCCCCCAGCGTCGGACACGGCTCGGGGCAGCGGCTTCCCGCGGGCGGCGGCCGTCACTCCGCCGCCGCGCCGGACCAGTTGCGTCAGCTCCAGTCTCCGGCAGTCCCCGCCACCGCTGCTGAGAGCTGCACCGCAGTCCGGACGGTAGGGGAGACAGGGGCGGAGTGGGGCCACCGCCGGCCGGCCATCTGACCTCTGGTCACCGGCGGGGTCATGGCTGGGTCCCCGGTCGGCCTCCTGACCCCGGCTGGGTCACCGGTCGGCCTCCTGACCCCGGCTGGGTCACCGGCGGGGTCATGACCTCGGCGGGGTCAGCGGCCGCGCCACTCGGTCAGCCCCGGTGGGCTCAGTGCGCCCCGGCCGCGGCCAGTGACAACTGCAGCCGAGTGACGACACGGCGTACGACGATTGCAGCATGGTCAGCGGCGTAATTCGGACTCAGGCATTACGAACAGCACACCACCGCGGACAGTGGAGAGCGGTGACCCGACCAGCCGAACCCGTCCCTGCAGCGCGCCATCCCTCGGACTACACTGTCCAGTTCCACCTGGCTCATGACACCATATACCCAACAAGAAATACGAGTCAGCGCCGAAAAAAATACCACTCAGCGCTGGAAGAACGAGTGGCTTACGTCGTAAAGCGTCCGTATCTAGTGAGGATCGGACCCACGTCGGGCGCGCGGCGGGGGGGGGGGCTGGTCAGCCTCCGGCGGTCACCGCGTGCTCGGCCGAGGGAGAAAGTTGCCGTGCCGGCTGCAGCGAAGGTCAGTCTGGGCGACCACGGCCACGACGCGGTCCATGGAGCCGGGCCAGCCAGGCCCAGAGACCCGTACCGGGCCAGCCCCACAGCAGCTACGGACTCGAACCGGGCCCAGCACAGCGGCCACAGGCCCGACCAGCGACCAGCGACCAACACAGCGGCTGAAAGCTCGCATTACCACAACGGTCGCGTCGGGTCGATGGCGAATGGAGAGTTCTCCAGAATAGCTCGGACTCCGGCTCCTCCGAGCCGTTACGCCCACCCCGGCCAGTCGACTGCAGAGGAGGAGGGGACAGTGCCGGCAGCGGCGGGCGCCGTGGGAAGCTGGCTGCCATATGCTGCCATATGGGACGCCGCCCCCGTGCAGTTCCGGTGGGACACGTCGTCGTCGGTGTCGGCGGCCGGCGGGCCATATTTAGCGGCCGGCCGCCGACCGACTGACTCCAATAGGCCGCCACCGACAGCCAGCCGGCCGAGCGACCCCGAACGGCCGGCGGCACTGCGGCCGAGCCGGAGCGGGGCACCGGACCAGAGGCACAGCCTTAGATAGATAACCGTCCCACGACCGGCGGAGACACCCGGAGTCCGGACCTGACCCGGACTAAGTTCATACCGTCTCCGCGGCCCAGTCCGGCCAGACAGCCGGGGGCGAAGAGGTCAGTTTCGTCCACCACCGGGCGACGGTCCGTCCTGGGCCCGCGGGCGGCGGGGGATCAGTTTCGTCCACCCCCGGGCGCCAGCCGGAACTGGCCGGCCGGCCGTGACGCCGCTCAGCTTTCTTTCCGGACAGACGGAGAGAAACGCCGCGGTGCTCGACGGCCACACAGCCGGCCTGCGCGGCGGCCAGAAAAGGAGCGGACCCGGCCGGTGACGCCGCGGCGGACTGCCCGCGCAAATCGGCTGCGACCGACTGGGGGCTGGCGCGCTGCGCAGCCAGAGAGCCCTCAGACAGGTGGGGGTGGCACTGGGCGTGTCCTGCCGGGACAACCTTGAAGCCCAACCCCCCCCCCCCCGCTGGCCAAGGTCGCCACGAGAGGTGCGCGTCAGCGGACGGGGGGGGGGATGGAGGGGAGGGGTGTGGTTCACGGACGGAGCAGTGGCGCCCATATAATTCAGAGGGCTCAACCGTAGCCTGGATCTCATGCCAGCGACAAATGCTCTGTGTTGTACAAAAGGCGCCAGCGTTCATAAGAACACGAGGAGCACAAGGCAGATGCTTCCGGCTGGGGCCGCGGCAGCCGTGATCCGTTGGTGAAACGCTCCCCTCCCTCCCCACCCCTGCGGGGACAGTCCGGGGGGAAACCGGCTGCGCGGGCGACGGGAAAAAGCCGCCGCCGTGCCAAGAATACGCGTGCTCGCCGCCATGGAGGGCGCCAGCTACGGCTGGAGGGGATGGAGGGTCACACGACGGCCGTACACGTGCGTCGTGCAGCCGTGCCGTGCACGTGGCGCAGACGGGGCGGCACGTCCGGTCGTAGCCGGCCGGGCGACCTCACTGCGCTGGCCGGGCGCCAGCCGCTGCCGGTTCCTCGCTGGCACCACGCCAGGTGCCCTCCGCCGTCCGGTCCGGGGGTAGAGAGGGCCACTCAGTACCCTGCTCTGCCCCTGGGTAAATCTGTGCATGGTAGAGGTACGAGCACCAGCTCAGAGCTGCGCTCGGACCACCGGACCGATGGGCGGCAGCTGAGCGACGTCGGAGAGCGAGACGGACGGAGGACACTGAGCGACGTCGGAGAGCGAGGCGGACAGAGGACAAGAGTGAAAGTCACCCGCGCGCCGGCAAGGTGACATATGCACTATGCAGCGACTCCGACATTAACCTCAATATTATACACAGTTCCGTCCGGCGGCCGGTGTACCGAGAGGGCGACGCCGTGGGCCGCGGCAGCAGTGGTCTCCCCAGCTCTCTCGGCCGATAGCAGACAGATGGGAGGCCGGGAGGGACCAGCCACAGACGGGGAGCTTTTCCCCACGCCCGGCGGCTGTCTGTGGCCGTCATCAGGTACAGCCCACCGCTAAAGTAAT